CTACCTCACATCTGTCTCCTTCTGTCTTTCACAATGTCTCTCCCACTCTACCTCACATCTGTCTCCTTCTGTCTTTCACAATGTCTCTCCCACTCTACCTCACATCTGTCTCCTTCTGTCTTTCACAATGTCTCTCCCACTCTACCTCACATCTGTCTCCTTCTGTCTTTCACAATGTCTCTCCCACTCTACCTCACATCTGTCTCCTTCTGTCTTTCACAATGTCTCTCCCACTCTACCTCACATCTGTCTCCTTCTGTCTTTCACAATGTCTCTCCTACTCTACCTCACATCTGTCTTCTTCTGTGTCTTTCACACTGTCTCTCCCACTCTACCTCACATCTGTCTCCTTCTGTGTCTTTCACACTCTCTCCCACTCTACCTCACATCTGTCTCCTTCTGTGTCTTTCACACTCTCTCCCACTCTACCTCACATCTGTCTCCTTCTGTGTCTTTCACACTCTCTCCCACTCTACCTCACATCTGTCTCCTTCTGTGTCTTTCACACTTTCTCCCACTCTACCTCACATCTGTCTCCTTCTGTGTCTTTCACACTCTCTCCCACTCTACCTCACATCTGTCTCCTTCTGTGTCTTTCACACTCTCTCCCACTCTACCTCACATCTGTCTTCCCCTCTCTCTGTCTCTCCCACTCTACCTCACATCTGTCTTCCTCTCTCACTATATGACTCTCTCTCTCTCTTTCTCTGTCCTTCGGTTACCAGGTCTAGAACAGATAGGACTTTAGTTTGGCCCCTCTGACACCAAGTCTAAAGAAAAATGTAAAAAAACCATATCTGTGCTGATATACCCACATGTGTGGGCATGAGTGAAGTACATTGTGTGCAAAGTACCTTATGTGCTCAGTACACCCTTGAACAAGGCAAAAATACCTTGTTTCAGTATTACTCCGAGACAGCCTTGAAAAAAAAAAAATAAGAATACATTGAAAAGCCTTTAATTTGATGGTAAATTTGGCTATGAACCCTGAAGGCAGTCTACTAGACTCAGAAGGTTGTCCAGTGAAATTGTCTGGCACAAGACCTGATTTCCAATTCTGCATGCAGTGTGTTTCAGCAAGTAAGACTGGCATTGTGACTTTGATTGCTCAAATGACTGAACAAGACTGTTGAGAAAACTGTGTAGTGGCTCTGGAATAACTAGAATCAAAGTAGAACAATTAATTGACTAAGTAACTTGGTGAGTGGCTATCTTCAAAATGAAGCCTAATCATACTCAAACCCCAGTCAGTAACAAAAACAAACACACTATCTCATCCTGGCCAAACCAGCAGTTCTATCAAGTAGATTTTTTTTTGCCTTAGCCATGTAAAGTGCAGAAGGAACGACAATTCACATTGCAGTGTACGCTGATAGAGAAGTTAGTCGACAGATTATCCTCATTGCACGTTGAACCACTCAGTCCATAAGTGCTCGGATCCCCTCCTCAGTAAATCCAGCGTGTAGCTGCTGACGACACCAATCCTGTGTTTGTTTATTCTTCTTCTTTGGCTATCCGCGTAGTGTTCTTGTTTTGCGACACCCTGTTTAACTTGCTGTTCTTGATGTCTGTCCATTCACATTTCTCAATTAGTTTACATAAACGTCTTAACTCTCTTAGAGCATTCAGTATATCAGCCTGGTCCACGGCTTGTCCCGCTTTCACAGTAGTCTTACCTGCAAGTCTATCAGCTTGCTCCTTTCTTTGTACCCCTACATGTCCTGGCACGAAAATGAAACTAATCCTAGTCAGCCATGAATGCTGTAGAGTCACCAGCTACTGCCTTCAGACCCAGCTCTTTTCTATCTTCCTGAGTATACTCATCGAATGACTGAGAAAGCATGCCACAGTGAAAGTCTGCGTCTCTAGCCATGTTCTTGCTATAGTCACAGACAAGACCTCTATAGTCCGACTAGATGTAGTTACGGCAAAAGCTCCAGAATCTTCCTTCACAACTCTTCCTCCAACCTGAGCCATGAAAGCCTACAAGCTTCTAACATGGCGGACTCTGTTGTCTGCATTTTCTGTCTAGTTGGATGCAAACAGAAAAGGATGTACAGCACTCTGAAGGCACTTGCACCCACTCCTCATCGGGTTCTATGTTCTCAAGTAAACCTCATCACCATCATCATCATGAAGCTGGTCCTTTGCAGAACGTCGCTCTCATCACAGTCTGCCTGATAAAAACCTTGTCTCTCGCCAGTTCTCCTGTCTCATGTACTTTCATGCTCAAAGAGTCACTTATATCCTGTGCCCATCTTCGTGTCGGTCGGCCCCTGCCTCTTCTTCCTGGTACCATGCCTTCTGCTATAATTTTTTCCAGTCCGTCGTGGCGCTTGATATGACCAAAATATTTCAGCTTCAGAGACAGGATGCTGTTTATTAGCCAATCTTCCTTGATGTTCAGATCCTTTAAGTTGTCAATATTTCTCCTCTTCTTTGTCCAAGATATTCTGAGAATCTTTCTATAGCATTTCAGCTCAAAAGCTCCTATTCTCTTTCTTAAGGACGGAGAGATAGTCCACGGCTCTCATCCGTATGTTGCTACAGGGAAGATGCATGCTCTCAAAATTCTATTTTTGATCTCCTTGCTGGTGGTTAACCATAGACTTTTAAGGCTGTCCAATCTTTGCATTGCCATGGCTATCCTCCTTTTAATTTCTGTCGAACAGTCTCCATTGTTGTTTATTATAGAGCCTAGATATTCAAAGTTTGTGACATTTTCAATTTCTTATTCATTTATTGTTATTTTTGGGTGACAGCCAGTTTTATCTGTGGACATTATTTTCGTTTTCTTTAAATTCAAAAACAGATTTTGATCTTCACTGTGCTTTTGGACAGACAATATTAAATTTTCTATTCCCTTTACGCTGTTTGAAAGGAGGACTGTGTCATCTGCATAGCAGAGTTCTGGAATAGGGTTGCCACCAATTTTGAGTGGATCATAACTGTCACAAGTCTGATCATTTTTGACATTTCTAATTATATTTTCTGCGCATATATTGAAAAGGTATGGTGAGAGAATGCACCCCTGCCTCACCCCCTTTTGCACCTCAAACCAATCAGATGTTTCACCAGCTGCTCTGATGGATGCTTGTTGTTCATGATGAGTGAACATACCTGTAAAATAATGACCTCAGCTTGACCCATCCACGATTTCCCTCTGTTAAAGCTGTAGCCTTTTGTCTTCTTAATTTGACTATTCAATGGATGTTGTGTGTCCGTGTTGACAGTGAGTTAGGCATGTGCTCAGAAAATTGTATTCTGTCTTCCATGGTTGGAAAATTGAGAAAATAGTGCATAGCCCTATATCTCTTGTACACCCAAGTATAATGCGCATACTCTTGTTCTGTATCCTTTCCATCTGCTTATGGCTGAGAGTCAGGATCGCCATCGCATATTAAAAAAACAGAAAGGACCAGACCCTGGTATAGAAGACATAGATGACGCTGCTCATGGTTTGCCACCGCCATCACTCTCATCGCAGCCGGACCCCGCTTGGCTTTCATTATAACCTGATTTATGTGCTCTGTATCAGCAAGACTTCGAACAGATCGTTTCCCCAGGTATTTCATTTCATGCCTTCTTTCCACAACCTCAGAACACAGACTAACAACTGGTGTTGGAGTTTTCACAATATGGTTATTCAAAGAGAACCATGTCACTGCCAAATTTGTTGGGTTGACCAGTGCACCAGCTTCACCACACCAAGTGCTTATGCGATTGAGCTCTTTTTGTAGTTCTTCAGCGACCTTCTCTCTATCCTTGCCCTGATAATACACTAACACCTGGATAGAGAAGTGTTGTCCAGTGCAGTCAGACATGGCAGTAGTGAAGAGCCCAGTCCATGAATACAGTAGTATCATGAAAACAGTAGTATCATGAATAGCTGACTTTCCTTCATTGCATTATCAGAAAGGGTTTCTGTGTGACCCATTGAACCATGGATTTCCAGACAGTAACAGGAACTAAACAGTCCGGGGAAAGAAGCTGGCTTTCTCCTGGCCACATTTAAAGGCACAATAAGAAAAAAACTGCATCACATTGCAGCTGCTGCTTTACTTCTCAAAAGCTTGGTCGCAGTTGGGCGAGCTCCCAAATCAGCAAATTAGTTGATTGTAATATGTGTTAAACACATATGCTGTTACCCAATATGTGGCAAACACACATCTTAAGGCTGCTACCCAATATGTGACAAACACGTCTCAAAGCTGCTACCCAATTTGTGAGAAATACATGTCCCAAAGCTGCTACCCAATATGTGAGAAACACATGTCCCAAAGCTGCCACCCAATATGTGAGAAACACATGTCCTAAAGCTGCTACCCAATATGTGAGAAACACATGTCCTAAAGCTGCTACCCAATATGTGAGAAACACATGTCCTAAAGCTGCTACCCAATATGTGAGAAAAACGTGTCCCAAAGCTGCTACCCAATATGAAAATACACAACAGAAAAGACACTTGTGACTCATGATCTGAGTAGGCCTGCGTCTGTGACAGTGTAAAGAAGATTAACATGCTGTAACATCTGTGTAGTGTAAAAACGTGAAAGTCATATGTCTCCTGTTATGCTAGCTCAGCTGTGAAAATGTGACAGTCACATGTCTCCTGTTATGCTGGCTCAGCTGTGAATACGTGACAGTCATATGTCTCCTGTTATGCTTGCTCAGCTGTGACAGTTGTAAGTTTCCTGTTATGCTGGCTCAGCTGTGAAAACATGACAGTCATATGTCTCCTGTTATGCTTGCTCAGCTGTGACAATCGTAAGTCTCCAGTTATGCTGGCTCAGCTGTGACAATCGTAAGTCTCCTGTTATGCTGGCTCAGCTGTGACAATCGTAAGTCTCCTGTTATGTTGGCTCAGCTGTGAAAACGTGAGTCGTAAGTCTCCTGTTATGCTGGCTCAGCTGTGAAAACATGACAATCGTTAGTCTATTGTTATGCTTGCTCAGCTGTGAAAATGTAACTATTAATTAATCCGTTGCCTTTATTTTTAGGTATCAGAGATTCTGAAAAAACCTGAGCAGGAAAGAACAACGCAAGACAAGACTCTTGTGAAAAAGAATCCTGAACTTGTCAAAGTTTCTCAACAAAATGCCAGAAAACTGCAGAATAAGAAAGACAGGATTCTTGAGGTGAGTTTACTGCTGAATTATGCTTGCATTATTATTATTGGTCTCCTTGACAATTATGTTTGGACATTTTGATTAAGCTCTATATTTATTAATTTGTATTATTACTGAATAGACTTTTGTTGAGAACTTTTTTGTTAATTTAAGACAAACATTTCAGTAAGCATTTTATGTGTTTCTGCTTGTGTACTTTAAAACACACATTGGGGTCTCTTCGACTATATGGTTGAATTTTAATTCTGGTTACTAGTTCATAGATTTAGTTAATTTCCATTAGGTATTTTCTAAAATTGGTTCTTCAAACTGATAGAAGTGAGAGCATGTATGAAGTGTTGAGGGTGAACTGATAGAAGTGAGAGCATGTATGAAGTGTTGAGGGTGAACTGATAGCAGTGAGAGCATACATGAAGTGATGAGGGTGAACTGATAGAAGTGAGAGCATGTATGAAGTCTTAAGGGTGAACTGATAGCAGTGAGAGCATACATGAAGTGTTGAGGGTGAACTGATAAAAGTGAGAGCATGTATGAAGTGTTGAGGGTGAACTGATAGAAGTGAGAACATGTATGAAGTGTTAAGGGTGAACTGATAGCAGTGAGAGCATGTATGAAGTTATGAGGGTGAACTGATAGAAGTGAGAGCATACATGAAGTGTTGAGGGTGAACTGATAAAAGTGAGAGCATGTATGAAGTGTTGAGGGTGAACTGATAGAAGTGAGAACATGTATGAAGTGTTAAGGGTGAACTGATAGCAGTGAGAGCATACATGAAGTGTTGAGGGTGAACTGATAAAAGTGAGAGCATGTATGAAGTGTTGAGGGTGAACTGATAGAAGTGAGAACATGTATGAAGTGTTAAGGGTGAACTGATAGCAGTGAGAGCATGTATAAAGTTATGAGGGTGAACTGATAGAAGTGAGAGCATACATGAAGTGTTGAGGGTGAACTGATAGCAGTGAGAGCATACATGAAGTGTTGAGGGTGAACTGATAGAAGTGAGAGCATACATGAAGTGTTGAGGGTGAACTGATTGCAGTGAGAGCATGGATGAAGTGTTGAGGGTGAACTGATAGAAGTGAGAGCATACATGAAGTGTTGAGGGTGAACTGATTGCAGTGAGAGCATGTATGAAGTGTTAAGGGTGAACTGATAGCAGTGAGAGCATGTATGAAGTTATGAGGGTGAACTGATAGAAGTGAGAGCATACATGAAGTGTTGAGGGTGAACTGATAGCAGTGAGAGCATGTATGAAGTGTTCAGGGTGAACTGATAGAAGTGAGAGCATACATGAAGTGTTGAGGGTAAACTGAAAGAAGTGAGAGCATGTATGAAGTGTTGAGTTTGAACTGATAGAAGTGAGAGCATACATGAAGTGTTAAGGGTGAACTGATAGCAGTGAGAGCATGTATGAAGTTATGAAGGTGAACTGATAGAAGTGAGAGCATGTATGAAGTGTTAAGGGTGAACTGATAGCAGTGAGAGCATGTATGAAATGTTGAGGGTGAACTGATAGCAGTGAGAGCATGTATGAAGTGTTAAGGGTGAACTGATATCAGTGAGAGCATACATGAAGTGTTAAGGGTGAACTGATAGCAGTGAGAGCATGTATGAAATGTTGAGGGTGAACTGATAGCAGTGAGAGCATGTTTGAAGTGTTGAGGGTGAACTGATAGCAGTGAGAGCATGTATGAAGTGTTGAGGGTGAACTGATAGCAGTGAGAGCATGGATGAAGTGTTGAGGGTGAACTGATAGCAGTGAGAGCATACATGAAGTGTTGAGGGTGAACTGATAGCAGTGAGAGCATACATGAAGTGTTGAGGGTGAACTGATAGCAGTGAGAGCATACATGAAGTGTTGAGGGTGAACTGATAGCAGTGAGAGCATGTATGAAGTGTTAAGGGTGAACTGATAGAAGTGAGAGCATACATGAAGTGTTGAGGGTGAACTGATAGAAGTGAGAGTATATATGAAGTGTTGAGGGTGAACTGATAGAAGTGAGAGTATACATGAAGTGTTAAGGGTGAACTGATAGAAGTGAGAGCATACATGAAGTGTTGAGGGTGAACTGATAGAAGTGAGAGTATACATGAAGTGTTGAGGGTGAACTGATAGCAGTGAGAGCATACATGAAGTGTTGAGGGTGAACTGATAGCAGTGAGAGCATGTATGAAGTGTTAAGGGTGAACTGATAGAAGTGAGAGCATACATGAAGTGTTGAGGGTGAACTGATAGAAGTGAGAGCATACATGAAGTGTTGAGGGTGAACTGATAGAAGTGAGAGTATACATGAAGTGTTGAGGGTGAACTGATAGCAGTGAGAGCATGTGTGAAGTGTTAGGGGTAAACTGATAGCAGTGAGAGCATGTATGAAGTGTTAAGGGTGAACTGATAGCAGTGAGAGCATGTATGAAGTGTTGAGGGTGAACTGATAGCAGTGAGAGCATGTATGAAGTGTTGAGGGTGAACTGATAGCAGTGAGAGCATGTATGAAGTGTTGAGGGTGAACTGATAGCAGTGAGAGCATGTATGAAGTGTTGAGGGTGAACTGATAGCAGTGAGAGCATGTATGAAGTGTTGAGGGTGAACTGATAGCAGTGAGAGCATGTATGAAGTGTTGAGGGTGTCAGGCAAGAATAGGGCAGCAGAAGAGTCATCTAGACATTGCTAGTCCACTATCCTCCTCAAACCTAGAGTAGGTGTCTGTTAGTGTTTGACATATCTTGGCTCAACCGTAAAGGGTGAATAAGAAACCACCAACTGGACTACAACCTCCTTCCAGTGGTGAGAGCCTCCCTCCCAGTGGTGAGAGCCTCCTCTCAGTGGTGAGAACCTCCTCTTAGTGGTGAGAGCCTCCCTCCCAGTGGTGAGAACCTCCTCTCAGTGGTGAGAGCCTCCTCTCAGTGGTGAGAACCTCCTCTCAGTGGTGAGAGCCTCCTCTCAGTGGTGAGAGCCTCCCTCTTAGTGGTGAGAGCCTCCCTCTCAGTGGTGAGAGCCTCCCTCTCAGTGGTGAGAGCCTCCCTCCCAGTGGTGAGAGCCTCCCTCTCAGTGGTGAGAGCCTCCCTCTCAGTGGTGAGAGCCTCCCTCTCAGTGGTGAGAGCCTCCTCTCAGTGGTGAGAGCCTCCCTCCCAGTGGTGAGAACCTCCTCTCAGTGGTGAGAGCCTCCCTCTCAGTGGTGAGAGCCTCCCTCCCAGTGGTGAGAACCTCCCTCTCAGTGGTGAGAGCCTCCCTCTCAGTGGTGAGAGCCTCCCTCTCAGTGGTGAGAGCCTCCCTCTCAGTGGTGAGAGCCTCCTATGAACAACAGTGTGACTGCACTAGACCAGCATCTGGACATGCAGCCACAGGGAGACAATGGAAAACACGGTTTTGTTTCCTTCTGAAATCTTCCAAGGTGGGGTGCATCTGCCTGAGAGTTGAACAACAAGTGGTCTGTGTAAAAGTAAACCAGATCTGTTGTTTTGAAAAAGACCTAACTCTTTACGGACTGTTGACCACTTAAATGGCTTTTGAATCCAACCCTTTCAGACTGGAGCCACAATAGTGGCGCATCATAAAGCACTCTAATTTTGTTTTGTTTGCTGGGAAAAATGACTTTTTATGAACTTGTTTTCATAAACTAGAATTAGTCCTTTCATTTTCTGAAGTCGGCGTGGTTTTTCTGTCACTTTCTGATTTGTTTTGAATTATTTAGGCGTGATACAATTTTTGTGGGATTTTTTTAAACCAAGTGATAAGGGAAAAGTTCTAGAACTGTTTATACTGCTGTGTCATTGATGAATCTTAGCCAGATAGTGACAGTAGTCTTCATATTGTGACTGATAATGCAGGTTAGGATGACATAAAAAACATGTGGTCATATCATCTCTGTTATGATTAGCTGTTTTTCTGATTTTAGTTGTGAAATCTGACATGTCAAACAAAAAATGCTCAAAACATCCAAAATATTTAAAATGTTCCAAATCAAGACATGTTGATACACAATTTAACAGAAAAGGCATGTGCATTCTTAGAATGGATAGCATTGTTGTTGAACAAGTAAAAATTATGGTGAGCACAACATTTTGTTTTTTAAATAGAACCATATAGCTGTAAATGTTGTTATAAGTTGAGGTTTCTTATCCTCTGACAATGAAGAACTTATAAATAATTGTGAGCATGTGTCTACTTGTCATGTGTATATATTTACTGTCAAGCAGTAAATTCTTGAGTGCCAATCATTGTTCACAGGTGGAAGATGAGCCACGGCTACTGCAGCACAAATGTCAACAATTAGCAGAGCTAATCAAGTCTTCCAGAAATGTCATTGTCTACACAGGAGCTGGTATAAGCACTGTAAATATTTCCACACTTTTTTTTTATGCTGATAGCTTTTACCTATATGTCTCTTGAAGGACAGGTTGAACCTCCACAATGAATTTAATTCAATCTGTTGGAAACAACGCTTTCTGAAGGCACACACTAGTTCCAGATTTTGGGGCCTAAAATCCACATATTGTCACGGATATTGATAGAAAATGTCATATTTTATGCGACAAATTGCCAAATTTGTACTCAACATTGGCTAATGTATTTCAGAAACAAAAAAGATGGTTAATGAAAATGTGCACATATATTAAGCATTACATTTCAAATTGATTGTGCTAAATACTTAAAGCAACGGTTTAAAACCTATGTTCATTTATGTGGTACATTACTATTTCCCCCCCCCCACCCCCCCAAAAAAAAAAACAATTAGGGTAAGGGTTACCATATATGAGAAAAATGCAAAAAAAAAATATTCAGGCTGTTGTATTTATGTCAGTTTAGTCCGATTCACTAATCATTTCTGATGTGTGTGCCAAGTATGAAGACAATATGTTAGTAACTTTTTTAGATATTTTATGCAATGTGGTGAAAAAAGTCACAAAAGGGTATTTTGAGAAAATCACTACAAAGTAACTGACCAAGCTGGTTTTCACAATAATTCATGACCTAATAAGTCGCTGCTGCATGTGAGTCATTCTCAGGGTATTCCTCAGCTGCTCTTTCATGTGCCTGATCAATTCTACACAATACGGAAACACTGGGCCTCAGCTTAGCCCTGACCAGCTCTCTTTCATTATATGTAATAACAGCATCATTCACAGCTATGTCTAGCCTATGTCTTCTAACATGGATTACATAGATTAGGCTATCCATCATTCACATCTATGTCTAGCCTATGTCTTCTAACATGGGTTACATAGATTAGGCTATCCCAGTTACTATACAATTTCTAACAAATGGGTGAAATAATTATTAAAAAGGGTTGATAAATAACTGAGTTATGACAGTTTGAATATTTTGCCCATATAATTGAGTAAATAAATAGATACCATGCCATTGTAAAAAAATAATTAAAATGACTTTCAGGTTAAATTTTGCAACAAGACTTGCATTATTATGTGCAGAAATGAATACACTTTCATGTAGTGTAAACAAGTAATATTCCAATGTCTTCCAACATACTATCAGTTGCCAGACTTGTTGTTGTTGTTGTCCTACCGCTCCCATTTCAATGAAAACATTGTGCTCAGCACCCCCAGCTCTCAAAAATCATCATAGGCAGTGATGATTCACCATCTTATACAGTCAGCATAATCACGGATCAGACCAGTGCTCTTGTCCCTGTATTTAAGGTATTTATCTCTTTGCTTTGTCAAAGTATTTATCTCATGCTTTCCCCCATCCTTTTTCAGAATCCAAACAGAATTACTATCTTAGTTGGTTTATAAGACGCACCCCAAAAACTTTAAAAAAGATTCAGAACACACTCATATTTAATTCATGCACTCATTTCAATACATAAGTACATAATTCCAGCCATTTCACTTTTTCCATGTTGTGCACATTTTCCTTTGTTCATTTTGCACAAAACTTCAGGCTAAGACCACCAAATCATTATAGGTTTATTCTATCAGTGGAGGTCAGAGGTGACATTCTGCTGGCTTGTTGCTGTGTTCTTCAGCAGATATTGTCACCTGGAGTTTAAAACCCACTGTGTGGCTTATGTCTTTTTATGTACCACAGGCGATTATAACAAATAACAGTCCATCTAGGCCTACTTTTGCTGCATGAGATGCTGCCTTTTTTTTAGAACGAAAAAAAAATGTCTTTCACACTAACAAACACACTGGATATCGTTTGACTTCCTAATTCTTAGAACATGCTCGGTCTGTATTTTGTGGTCTTCTCTCCATTTCAAATTTATAGATTGTTTAAGTGTGCTTTTGGCATTTACAAGCTATGAGACGGGGGCTGTGTTAGGTACCCTATAGCTTTCATGAGCTCCTTGCCTCTCACTTTATTTGTTGGCATACCATAGCTGGATGTGTTCCAGTGCTGAACTAGTTCTGTTCTTGTGGACAGCATTCTGATAATTTCTTTATTTCATGGGGTCTGCTTTTCTTGTTAGACTATGAGTTAACTTGGAAGGCTTTTGAGTTTTTAAGTGTGACAGCCTTTTATTTAGTTCAACTGGCTTATTAAATTAGGAGTGTGTACAGTTGAAAGCTGAGCTGTTGCCTCTGTTGTGAAGTTGGTTCAAGCTGGCCATTCTGCTGCTGAATGTGCCTCTGTTGTGAAGCTGGTTCAAGCTGGCCATTCTGCTGCTGAATGTGCCTCTGTTGTGAAGTTGGTTCAAGTTTGCCATTCTTCTGCTGAATGTGCCTCTGTTGTGAAGTTGGTTCAAGCTTGCCATTCTGCTGCTGAATGTGCCTCTGTGTTTACCCTCAGAGTTAATGTAGATTCACCCTTTTCCTTTATGGTGGCTTTTTTTTTAGCAAAACCATTTGTGAACACACCAATCCAGATATCGGAGGGATAATGATTACTGGGCGACAAAGCTCTTTTCTCTGAATCAGCTAGTTCTTTTTAAAGACTTTTCCTGGGACTTCCGGAATTGTACTGGAACAAATCTGGACAGCTGATGCATAGCTCTGTGTTTATTTTGAAAATGAAGCAGTTAGTGTTATTGTAAACTCCCTGTGTGGGAGAACTGACCCACTGTCTCCCCAACAACCATATCGTAGAGGTCGACAAATTGGGGCCTCCTACCAAGTTGAAGTGTATCTGCCAGAGTGGCAAGGAACAAATAACTGCACACAGATAAGCCAGTAAAATGTATTTACACTCAAAACTCAGGTCCCGGCACAAAGCCAAAGTCCCACTGGACTTTCCATTGGAGCTTAGAAAGAAGAAGAAGATTACTGTAAACTGTGTAACTATATTGAAACGGATATGAATAGCCTACATAAACGTTGTTTCTTCTCTCTAAACACCCCCCACCCACTTTACTTTTTATTTGGTGTTATGATCTGCACCTGAGGCTGCTACCACTCCCTGGACCAACCCAGCATCCCACAAATTGGATTGAGACAGCTATTGCCCTCCCTTCTCTAACCATCCCACAAATTGTATTGAGGCAGCTACTGTCCTCCCTCCCCCAACCATCCCACAAATTGTATTGAGGCAGCTATTGCCCTCCCTTCTCCAACCATCCCACAAATTGTATTGAGGCAGCTACTGCCCTCCCTTCTCCAACCATCCCACAAATTGTATTGAGGCAGCTACTGCCCTCCCTTCTCCAACCATCCCACAAATTGTATTGAGGCAGCTACTGCCCTCCCTTCTCCAACCATCCCACAAATTGTATTGAGGCAGCTACTGCCCTCCCTTCTCCAACCACCCCACAAATTGTATTGAGGCATCTACTGCCCTCCCTCCCCTGACCACCCCACAAATTGGTTTGAGGCATCTACTGCCCTCCCTCCCCCAACCATCCCACAAATTGGTTTGAGGCATCTACTGCCCTCCCTCCCCCAACCATCCCACAAATTGTTTGAGGCATCTACTGCCCTCCCTCCCCCAACCATCCCACAAATTGGTTTGAGGCATCTACTGCCCTCCCTCCCCCAACCATCCCAACACCTGCAGGGAGTGGTAGCCTCCACTTTAGAAGCCCCTGGTGTAGGCAGTTTATTTTTAAAACCATTTGGGCTTTTTGTTTAAATATTTGTCCTCATGCTCTCTGATCAGCCCTCTGATCCATCTCTGGTGTGGATAAAGACGGTTGTTTGCTCTTTTTTGTAGTGGACTTGAATATTGATACCTGTCTTTGAGAAAGAAGTCAAGCATAAATTGTAGATGGAAATCACTATTATTTGCAAGCTATAACATTCTATCAGCAGTACTGCTAAATAGACTAAGGCCACACACAAAAGATACATTAGGTGGATACCAGGCAGATTTCTGACAGAAGATGAACAGTTGATCAGAGATCCACTTGAAGAAAGATTGTGAAGCAAGATTTTAAATACACAGTAGAAGGCTTGAACATGTTTGTGTGGATTGTAAATACACAGTAGAAGGCTTGTACATGTTTTTGTGGATTTTAAAAGGCATCTTCTCCATGTGTGTTCCTGGGCCCCATTGAAGGGAAAACAAGAATAGACTCACTGCCTCCCAACAAGCATGTCATAAGAGTACACTAATTGGAGGTTTCCTTCGAAGTCAGAATGCATCTGCCTGAGAGGCAAGGAACTCAGGATAACAGGATGAGTAGATTATTCAGGAGATGATGGTGAATTTGCAATATTAAAAACCTACACGAACCTCAGGTCAAAAAGTGATGTCAGACATGAGCACTATACAGATAGTCAAAGAAGAATAGTAAACCAATACAGAATTGGTATTATCAGTCGCCACACACTGAGGGATATACTTCTTCTTCTTCTTTTCGTTCACCAGCTGTACATTCTGGCGTAAAGTTCTGGTTGTTCGTCCACTTCTGGACTGCAGTCCTGCTCCAGAACCTGGGTGTTGCATGTGCATCAGTTTTACAGATCTGATTCTATTGAATGCAGACTGCTGGTTTCTTGCCTCTCAGGCAGATGCACTTCGACTTCAAAGGAAGCTCCCCAGTTAGTCGACTCTTACGACATGCTTTTGGGGAGGCAGTGGGTCTATTCTTGTTTTCCCCACAATAGGGCCCCGGAACCCACACGGGGGGAGGGATATACTAAAGATGATGTCTGATCCCTTATGTACTTATGCAGTGTGCAGTGGATTAACTAACTAATCTATTTAAACAAACTGCCTAAGTAATGAGAAGATATAATGTCAAAGTTAAGGTTTGACAATCTGATGAAAATGTCACACTACCAGCTGCCACAAAGAGTAATGCCAAAGAAATACAGTTGACACAGAGCAATGGAAGACCATGCAGGAAATAGAATGATGACATCAAGAACAGCATTAAGGAGAAAAAGATCAGCTTATAAAACTTTTTGAAAGGAGTACATAGAAGATCTTTACTTCTATCCCCAACACTTTGATGAAGTAACTGGAGAAAATGAAGAAGAGGAAGAAGTTAATAAACATGACCAAACAATATATGGAAGACAATTTTAATCTACTAAAATGCATAAGGTCAGAAGACCTTTTTTAAATACTATCTCGCTTAAAGCAAAGTGATGCACTGTCTCTGCTAAATTTTTTTTTTTTTTTTTTAACTTTGCCCTGGATAAAAATCATAAAGAACATGAAAATGATGCTGAGGGAGAAGCAAAATTTAGTTGTGCAGAGGACATAGATGTATGGGGAATACACCAGAGAACATAGATGTTGGGGGGAATGGGCCAGAGGACATAAATGTAGGGGGAATGGGTCAGAGGACATAGATGTAGGGGGAATGGGCCAAAAACAATTTGGTTGTGCATACATGTAGGAGAAAATGGGCCAGAGGACATGATGTAGGGGGAAAAATAGGCCAGAGACAACATTTGGTTGAGCAGAGGACATAGATGTAGGGGGAAATAGGCCAGAGGACATAAATATAGGGGGAAATGGGCCAGAGACAACATTTGGTTGTGCAGAGGACATAGATGTAGGGGAAATGGGCCAGAGGACATAGATGTAGGGGGAGAAAAAGATGGGGGGAGAGACAACATTGTAGGTTGAGCATGGGCCAGAGGACATAGATGTAGGGAAAATGGGCCAGCAAACATAGATATAGGGAAAAATGGGCTGGAAGCCATAGATGTGGGGGAAATGGGCCAGAGAACATAGATATAGGGGAAATGGGCCAGAGAACATAGATATAGGGGAAATGGGCCAGAGGACATAGATGTAGGGGAAATGGGCCAGAGAACATAGATATAGGGAAAATGGGCTGGAGGCCATAGATGTGGGGGAAATGGGCCAGAAGACATAGATGTAGGGGAAATGGGCCAGAAGACATAGATGTAGGGGAAATGGGCCAGAGGACATACATGTTGGTTGTTCAGGCCAGAGGACATAGATGTAGGGGAAAATGGGCCCGAGGACAGTTTGGTGTAGTTCAATAGGCCAGAGGACATAGATGTAGGGGAAATGGGCCAGAGGACATAGATGTAGGGGAAAATGGGCCAGAGGACATAGATGTAGGGGAAATGGGCCAGAGGACATAGATGTAGGGGAAATGGGCCAGAGGACATAGATGTAGGGGAAATTGGCCAGAGACAACATTTGGTTGTTCAGAGGAGATAGATGTAGGGGAAAATGGACCCAAGTCAATTTGGTTGTGCAGAGGACATAGATGTAGGGGGAAATGGGCCAGAAACAATTTGGTTGTGCAGAGGACATAGATGTAGGGGAAAATAGGCCAGAAACAATTTGGACATAGATGTAGGGGAAATGGGCCAGAAACAATTTGGTTGTGCAGAGGACATAAATGGCTATGAACTGAAACCTGTACAAATATAATCGTATAATGATATCATGTTGTTTACATTGAAATTGAAATATTGTTATACAAGTTCATACTTTCTGTACCATACATGACTTGGCAATGCTACTAATGTATACATGTTATAGAACAATTATATTAATTCTTGTTTCATGCTGGGTGTAAATATATGGACATTGTTGTACAGTTAACATAATTCTGTGGAGTATTTCAGTTCATTCAGGATTTATTTGTTTGGTAGTTAGTTCATTTGTAGAAAATAAATATCTTCTTGACACAGGCAGCCTCAATACCTGATTACAGAGGACCAAATGGTGTTTGGACATTACTGAAAAGGGGACAGGAACTCAGGTATGAAGCATGAAGGGGAAATAGGCCAGAGGACATAGATTTTTTTTTCTTACTTGCTACATTTTTTTTTTTAGGGAAATAGGCCATATCCAGTTTTAGGGGAAATGTTTTATCTGGCCCTGAAAGTTAAAGCACAACTAAAAACATGAAACATTATTAAACATTTTTTCAAACAGTCTTATGATGAATCTGTGTACCCCTCAAAGAGGCAGACATCAGGAATGGCGAGTGAGCAGCATCAACAAAATTTATATTTAAATTACTCGTGGGGCTAATAGACTGAAATGGCTGGGGCATATTGAACGAATGTCAGATGACAGAGAGGTAGAAACTGCACACAAGGGAGATGAATGGTTGTAGACCACAAGGCAGACAAAGAATACAATGGAGTGATAATATCCAGAGAGGCCTACAAACACTAGGTGTCATCAGCTGGAAAGAGAAGGCCAATCAGAGAGATGAATGGAGGCTGATATCTGTAGCAATGAACCTCAAGGGCTCGGAATAAGAAGAAGATATCCAGTTTGTAAAATTGGTGTTGCAATATAATTCCTAAAATTAAAAAAACATATATGCAAGATGGGGCTGAGAACCGATATTAATAACAATGTAAACTAATGAACCGATTGCTTTCAAATTTTCACACAACGTTCGTTGCCTTTGACTCAAAGCGTGACTTTTTGTCAGAAAATTGCACAAACCACGAATGACGTAGCTCTAGCAACGGTCAATCATTATTTGTTTCGTTGCCGGCCCGGATTTGTTTTTAGTTGATTGGCCATTTTTGACTGCTGAGCTCTTATTGAACTTTGCATTACTATATAATTTCATTTAGACTTTCTGCTTGAGTGTTTGGTAGCTTAGTTATAACTATTCCGCTTATCATGCGAGTGACCCGCGTTCGATCCCCCGCTAGGTACTTCTCAGTACAAGTTAATGCTACCTAATTAAGTCTGGGTGGAACACGGATGCCAAGCTCAATTTAGTTATAATATTTTATCACATGGTGACTTTCCCATCCTTCGGAGAGGATGACATTATTGGGAGAGCGGGGAGGGGGGGGGGGGATTATGCTAGATACAGTTAGCTGAGAGAGCTTAAAATATTTTTTTAAAGTTCTCATTTCTTAACCTTTTCTATTTTCATAATTTCGCCAGGTGATGATCTATCCATATTTTCTTGGTCTGTCTCATGGTCTATGACCATTCTGCTCCCTGGTGTATACAGTTTTTACTTCTTCATCTCTGACATTCTCTCAGTATGCTCTAACCATTTCAGTCTATTAGCTCTCAACGTACCAGTGATCAATGGTGATTTAAACAGATTATGAATTTCGTTGTTGCTTCTCATTCTCCAGTCCCTGCCGTTTGCATCTTTGATGGGTCTAAAGATTCTTTTTGAAAGTTTCTATTGAGGCTTCATCTCTTTTAGTTGTGCTCCAAGTTTCAGAGCCAAACAAAACAATTAGTCTTATCAGCGTATTATATATTTTGATCTTGTTATTTCGAGATAGAGACTTTGACTTTAGCAGATGTTGAAGGGCATAGTACACTTTATTTCCAGATTGTATTCTATATTGAAATTCTTCTCTTAGCGTATGTTTCCCTTTTTTTAATGTTCATATAATCGACTTGTATGTGGCTGAGTTGATATCCTTTCCCTGTCTTGTTATTGTCATGTATTGATTATCTTCAGTGATACCTAGTCCCATTTTGTGAGCTGCTTCTTTTAAGAGAGTCTGTGTTTTTTTGCAGTCTCTAGTTCATTTTCTCCAACAAAATCAGGGTCATCTGCATAACCAAGTATTCTTGTCGTTTCTCCTAAAGTACACTCATGTTTCAATTTCCTTACAATTTTCTCCAGGGCCAAGTTGAAAAGAAGTGGAGACAGTGCATCACCTTGCTTTAAAAACCACATGTTATCTGAAAAGGGTCTGACTTTCTGTCTTTATATATTACTATATTATACGTGTCTTCCATGCATAGTTTGGTCATGGTAATTTACTTCTTTGGTATTCTAAGGTCATTCATAGCATTCCATAAACTTTTTCTATGTATGCTGTCTTACGCATTTTTATTTCCACAAAAAATCATTATGTACATTTCTTCCATATTCCCAGAGTTGCTCTGCTATTTGCCGTAAAATAAATACCTACATCCCTACTTACTTAGTCACTCTTCTTCTACCTTGGGGTATAGAGGTTTGCCAGAGAGATTGCGAGACGTTTCTATCAGCAGTTTTCGTAAAATGAATATCTGATTTATTGTTGATCTGTTCTGTCGAAAACCCGCTTAGTAATCTCCCAATATGTCTTCGACGTCTGGTTTTAGCCGGTTTAGCAGGACTGCTGATAGTATCATGTAGCCCGTGGATAATAATAATATTCCTCTATAATTTTCCCATTTATACTTGTCTCCTTTCTTAAAAATGGTTATTAACAACGCTATGATTACATGACTTAATTAGAAGTGATCGCAGGCAGGCTGATATCAAGAGGTAAATAAACACAAAACAGCTGGGGGGAAATTCCCATACAGTCTGTGCAGAGATCAAGGTCCTCATTAATTATATATGTGGTAAATACATAGTTGAAACAGAGACTGATCTGTTATTTGGGGTGAAAGATGTCACTCTACACTCACAGGGAATGTTTAAGGAAACTAGCAGTGTTTCACTAGGCTGCAGAATGTTTAGCATAACCTTTCACTCCGTTAGAATTGTTAAAGAATAGCTATGCTGTCAACAACAGACATGGACACTGTCTTCAGAAGACAGAACAAAAATAGTCACCACATCGAATATTTATATTTGATGCTAGGTGTAACAAGGAAAAGATCAACTTCAAAGTTATGACATCAGGAGGAAAAAAAAGTGATGGCACAGAACACTAAACTTTATGGAAAACAGATCAAATGGTTTGTCAGTTTTTCCATGTCACAAGATTAGCAACAGACAGGGCACCACAGCCATCGTATTACATACATGTGGATGGACACTATAATTGCAACGTGTAATGATTGCCACCTGGATAACATCCAACCAAAATGGTGGGCATACATATAATCATAGCCACTAGGTGGACACTATAATTGCAACCAGTAGCAAAACTAGTTTATAGCTGTAATGACCATTGCTCAAAGACTTCACGTCATCAGAAGCCAGTAAATCCTGGAGAAACAGCTTTCTCAAAGCCACAGGATCAACTGTGTATCCGGCTGGGCTGGCTTGAGACAGTGCACTCTCCAATCAAATAGACTTATGAGAATCTGACTAAGCTGTGCTTTCAAGGCAGTGCCAACCATCATCATGTTACTGACCAGTTTGTGGTAGTGTTTTATTGCTTCAGTTTTCAACTTTGAGGTTCAACCCAAGCAGATCAAATGCAGAATTGGAAGCTAGACCTCATGTGCCTGTCTCAACAGCAAACATTCTCTTGCTTTAAACAAGCTCAGCTTGTCTTCTTAACTGGCCAGCTTATGTTAAGTTAAAGGGGATGGGGAGGGAGACACTTGTGAATTATGCAAAATGCTTCTCTCATGGCTTTGCCTGTTGACTGGAGATGTCCAGTGCTTGGATGGCATGTTTGCAGCATAACTGATTTCCCTGTGCTTCCTGCTGAGCTATGAACAAGTATATTGATTTTGTGTAAAGTTTGTTTACTTTCTGTGTAATCTTGCTATGTAGTACTTTGTTGTGGTGCCAGAGTTATCTTGTTGATAATTTGTGCTTGAGAGTTTTTTTTTTTTTTAATAAAGGATTTGTCGCGTGATAAATTTACATATTCTTTTTTTTTTCTTAAAGGAATATATTTTTTTTCTTTAAGTGAAGTGGCAGTTGAACCAGGTACAGGGCAGTACTGTCATAGCTGCCGACAGTGCCTCTTCCTCTCCACAAGTTGATAGCTGCTGTGCTCTTGTACCTTAGGTACACTAATAAAAATAAACTACAATGTATAAGCATTATTGTTATCTACCAGTGTGATGATCCATTTCAGTGCTCAAGACCTCANTGTTTAAGGAAATTGGCAGTGTTTCACTAAGCTGCAGAATGTTTAGCATAACCTTTCACCCCTAGAATTTTCAAAGAATAGTTATGCTGTCAACAACAGACATGGAGGGTGTCTTCAGATGACAGAACAAAAATAGTCACCACATCGAATATTTATATTTGATGCTAGGTGTAACAAGGAAAGATCAACTTCAAAGTTATGACATCAGGAGGAAAGTTGGCACAGAACACTAAACTTTATGGAAAACAGATCAAATGGTTTTGCCATGTCACAAGATTAGCAACAGACAGGGCACCACAGAGGGCACTGCTGTACAGATACAGCAATAACAAAGTCAGAGGTCGACTGTGACGTTACGGCCCACTCCCTTGGAAATTACAACACTTTTAGTGTGACGTCCCGGGTCGTGGGTTCTCTGGATTTGGGTTTAAATGATTTATATGTTGAGTAGGGATTTTCCTCTCAACACATCCGCTCCACCAGATTAACTGAACTATTATCCGGGCTATGTTGCTCTCAGACAAAGTCCTGGATATCCAAGAAAACAGCCATATTGGCTCGTTATTTATATTAACTTTAGCTGAACTTGGTATCCACAAGAGAAGGAAATGGGTTTTAGATGTCTATATATTATTATCTTGAATGATTCACTAGACAGGGCAGTTGACCCAATCCGTCGACCTTCTCTTGGTAAAGAAATTTTATTATTTAATGAGCACCCACCAAATGCTATTCTATCTTAACAGTTTAATTAAACGTGTAAGAACAGACACATTTGGAATTACAAAAACTGATGCAGGATACACCATATATTTGATTTATTAACCTAGCAATCAGAGTATGACATTAGTCATCATTATTGTTATAATAGATAGTGATGGTATGGTGATAATGAGAGGCTTCAGCTAGATAACTGAGCACCTAAGATTAGAGTGAAGTGATAATGGTGGTGTTTAGTTACATAAATACATTTTACATATCTTTTTAGAAAGTGGAACCTCTGAGAGTCCTCGTGTTGAGTCCCTTCTTAGCTGTTCCAATCTTTCCGCCCAGTTCTCCTGGTCCTTCCACCTGGTTTCCTGGTTCCCACCTGTTTCCCAGCTGGCCGAGTTCTAACACAATGTAGTCTCGTGACCGTGATGACCCTCTATTTCTGTTCTTAGAAAAGACTGATCCTCACCCACATGGGAGCTGTAATAATGGAAACAAACACATACATGTAGTATCTTGACTTACACTAAGAATACATGTGTCAATTAATACAATATATAATAATACATTATATCTCATCACTCCTCATATTCCACATTCTCTCCAGTCTATTCTGAAGGTCTTTGTGTCTCACACCGACGTCTCACATATCCTGCCTTCCCTCTAAGGTTCTGTCATGATAGTTGATTTTCTGTTGTCCGTCATCACTCAGACTTCCAACTTGCTGACATTGATTTGACATAAACATGTGGCGCAGGTTATGTGCTGAACACGCCAAACATTTTATACGAGCATGCTGTCCTGAATATTATCTTTCAGTGACAGTGAATAATATACACGCATGATTCTTCCCCTGGGGTTATAAATCCCCTGTTTAGGTGAACACATTAGGTGAGCACATGGTGGGTACACAAAACGTAACAGCATAGTTGCATATGTGGGCATCATTTCCCACAGTCCAAACTCATGTTTTGGTTGATGGTTGAAACATTACAATTTCATTACATTTCAGTATACAAGTCTTATTTCATAAACATGAAAACATACACTGAACATACACTGAAATGAAAAACATGTGCCACAAACATACAAGAAATAGAAATAGTTTAGCAGTTCCCTAACTGAGATACTGAATACTCACAAAGAATTATTTCAAGCAGAATGAGTAGACAAATTAGGAAAAGGTAGAATAGATTTTAGCTAACTCCCTAACCTATGTATACAAGATTGAAAATAATTGTACATGCTTACCTGGAAACTTCCAGCAATCGCCAAACTAGAATCAAACCATTAGATTTACCTCTAAGGTCGACCTGTTTGTTGCTCGTGGCAGCGATTATGACGGGAATTCCAGGGCTTGTCTTATTAATACCTCTATCTGTCTGCAAGGTTAAACTCCACCCTCTACTAGGTTCTACCCAACCCTCAAGGAGATGACTTAAGCCCCTAGCACCTAGCAGATCAACCTAGCTATCAATGGGCCTGTCACTCACAGTGAACGGCCTACAGTACGACCTTGACCAAGATTAGACATTCCTAATTGCCAAACACCTGTTCTCTTGAGAATTTCACTATCATGTGTGAAAACTTCAGACGCTGGACGCCATCCTGTCTAGAAAAATCTACCAGACCACTTAATTCCCCTGATTTAGTTTGATCAAACGGCCCCACTAGTCTGTGTGTTATATAATTTTTATGACACTACGGTCGGGTTCAGGGGAGCTAATCAGGTGTGATACTACGTTATCTCCCCCTTTACTTGCTTCTACAGACTGGCGGGAGATAATTATCTGACACGGGCAGGTGAAACTCTAGCTACAGTAGTATTAGGTAATATCACATAAAGCAAGGTTGCTTTGTCTGGCGAGAGACTGGAAACACATTTTACACAATTCTCAAATCCCTTGTAGTGGTTTTAGAACTATTTTAGGCTCAGTGTATATTGCTTATAATTCTTTGTCCTCTGAACATAAGAAATTATCAAATACAATATAACTTCTGAGTCAGAGGTCGACCCAGGAAATGTCAGAGACACTGAGAAATCTGATATACAAAGCACATAGAAGGTCCGGTCCCAGAGATCTCTTCCTGCTCTCACACTGCCAAGCATTCCAGGAGTAGGAAAAAAAAAGTGATCCTAAAGTTTCAACATTTTCTTTTAAATAAGTTTATCTTTATAATTCTCGGAATCGCTGCCCTAAGAAACTAGAGCAGGAAAAGAAAAAGCAGAAGAAATTAGGAGGTAGTCAGTTTTTCCGGATGATTGAAACCTACGAACAGGGAGCAGTTAGGCAATTATAATGGCCACTGCAATGTCACAGCCATCGTATCACAAAAATCATTCATAATAAATTTGTTTTCACTTTACGATTGAAATAATTTTTTTTAATATTTCAATTAATTACTAAATAAAAACGCAGCAAAGAATTAACTGCTTTCCTTCCCAGTGACCATGAATGATAGGTGTTTTTATCGATGTAACCAGGTGTGGAAGATGGCTGTCGTAATGATATAATTTTGACATCACAGTTTGAAACATGTGGATTTGCTTGTGTGCCCCAGATAACATCCAACCAAAATTGTGGGCATACATCTAACCATAGCCACTAGGTGGACACCATAGTTGCAACCAGTAGCAAAACTAGTTTATAGCTGTAATGACCATTGCTCAAAGACTTCACGTCATCAGAAGCCAGTAAATCCTGGAGAAACAGCTTTCTCAAAGCCACAGGATCAACTGTGTATCCGGCTGGGCTGGCTTGAGACAGTGCACTCTCCAATCAAATAGACTTATGAGAATCTGACTAAGCTGTGCTTTCAAGGCAGTGCCAACCATCATCATGTTACTGACCAGTTTGTGGTAGTGTTTTGTTGCTTCAGTTTTCAACTTTGAGGTTCAACCCAAGCAGTTTAAGCACATCAAATGAAGAATTGGAAGCTAGACCTCAAGTGCCTGTCTCAACAGCAAACATTCTCTTGCTTTAAACAAGCTCAGCTTGTCTTCTTAACTGGCAAGCTTATGTTAAGTTAAAGGGGATGAAGAGGGAGACACTTGTGAATTATGCAAAATGCTTCTCTCATGGCTTTGCCTATTGACTGGAGATGTCCAGTGCTTGGATGGCATGTTTGCAGCATAACTGATTTCCCTGTGCTTCCTGCTGAGCTATGAACAAGTATATTGATTTTGTGTAAAGTTTGTTTACTTTCCGTGTAATCTTGCTATGTAGTACTTTGTTGTGGTGCCAGAGTTATCTTGTTGATAATTTGTGCTTGAGATTTTTTTTTTTTTTTAATAAAGGATTTGTCGCGTGATAAATTTACATATTCTTTTTTTTTTTCTTAAAGGAATATATTTTTTTTCTTTAAGTGAATTGGCAGTTGAACCAGGTACAGGGCAGTACTGTCATAGCTGCCGACAGTGCCTCTTCCTCTCCACAAGTTGATAGCTGCTGTGCTCTTGTACCTTAGGTACACTAATAAAGATAACTACAATGTATAAGCATTATTGTTATCTACCAGTGTGATGATCCATTTCAGTGCTCAAGACCTCAGTGATGCAGAGCCAACATTTACCCATATGTCTCTCACTAAACTCTTCACTGTTAAAAAGGTAATCATTTCCTTTTAACAAAAAAGGGGTGTGTTTACTTTAAAAAATTGTGTTTTAATTTTATAACCGTTGAAAATGTTTATATCATACAAAGACGGCAAATCAAATGGGTTTTACAACACCATACCATATAGGGCATACACCAAAAGAGAAAGGTGTAGAGCACAGGGTAGACCAAGAACAACATGGAAAGAAAACATCAGTGAAACCCAACAGCAGCAGACGTGTCTGTGGTTGAGGCAGCCAGAAGAGCCAGAAGCAGAACCTTATATCTCCCTTGACACCCAAAGTGGTCAAAGAGAAACAAATAATAAAAATGGTTATCTTGTGCCATGCAACAATTTTCCTATTGCTAAATTTTATAGTTTCTTCCCATAATATTCCCAGAAAATCAAGTATCTGTAATCTGTTTTCAGTATTTATCTGTTTCTTTGACTGCCTTGTTTGTTTTGATGTCCATCCATGGTGTTCTTTGTATTTCTTTAGAGACCACATTTCTGGAGGAAACAAAATTAAGACATATTTGATAGAGTAACATACAGGCAGAATATCAGACCTTTTCAAAATGGGACTAGCTATCATTCAAGATGAGATAGAATACATGATAATAACAAGAGAGAGATAGGATAAAGGCTTCAGCCACATACAGAATAATAAAATGAAAATCAAAAGAACAGCAACACAGTTTTTGGGTACAAATTTCAGCTGCTCCTGCATTCTAAGAGAAGAAGTACAAGAAACAGATTATAAACAGAATAGTCATACCACCACAGTGCTACCAGTGCCTGACTTGGACATTATTGAAGGCTACCTACGTCAAATTAACACCTGTGAAATGAGAGGCCTGAGAAAAGCTGCCACCTGAAGCACCCGAGACAGAAAAGATCTGATCAGACAGACTGTAGGAACAGAACCGTGCAGCCGATTCATTCAGAAACAGACCACATTGTTTAGTCATCTAGTAACAATGCAGAACAACCAGCAGTTTAGGCGCTGGCTACACATGATAAGCTCTGAAGTGAAAGCAAGAGACCGCCCTAGGAGACGACGGATCGATGACATTAAAGAGCTTCTACATGGACATTAAATTATAATAGCCATTGTTGCCCATCTAGCAGTAGATTGCAGATGAGGAAGATGATGATGAATCAATCAACAATCATCACTACACTTAGGGCATTCTCACACACACTCTGTACCCTTCCTCAGCAACCAGTTCTTATACTGATGGTGCCAGTTGCAGCTACATTCAATGAATATTTCCTTTCCCCTGCACAGATCTGGATGTTCTCTTGCCCAGATCTGGATGTTGTGTTTTCTTGCCCAGATCTGGATGCTGTGTTTTCTTGCACTACCTCCTTTTTTCCCTTGCCCAGATCTGGATGTTGTGTTCTCTTGCACTACCTCCTCCTTTCCCTTGCCTAGATCTGGATGTTGTGTTTTCTTGCACTACCCCCTCCTTTCCCTGGCACAGATCTGGATGTTGTGTTTTTTTGCCTAGATCTGGATGCTGTGTTCTCTTGCACTACCTCCATTTTTCACTTGCCCAGATCTGGATGTTGTGTTCTCTTGCACTACCTCCTTCTTTTTCCTTGCCTAGATCTGGATGCTGTGTTCTCTTGCACTACCTCCCTCCTTTCCCCTGCACAGATCTGGATGCTGTGTTGCTCTTGCACTACCTCCGGATCTGTGTTCCCTTGCACTAGATCTGGATTCCCCTGCACTCTTGATCTACCCATGCTCCTTTCCTTGCACTACCTCTGGATTTGTGTTTTCTTGCCCAGATCTGGATGCTGTGTTCTCTTGCACTACCTCCTCCTTTCCCTTGCCTAGTTCTGGATGCTGGGTTCTCTTGCACTACCTCCTCCTTTCCCCTGCCCAGATCTGGATGCTGTGTTCTCTTGCACTACCTCCTCCTTTCCCTTGCATAGATCTGGATGTTGTGTTCTCTTGCACTACCTCCTCCTTTCCCCTGCACAGATCTGGATGTTGTGTTTTCTTGCCCAGATCTGGATGCTGTGTTCTCTTGCACTACCTCCTCCTTTCCCTTGCCTAGATCTGGATGCTGGGTTCTCTTGCACTACCTCCTTCTTTCCCTTGCCCAGATCTGGATGCTGTGTTCTCTTGCACTACCCCCCATATTTTCCCTTGCCCAGATCTGGATGCTGGGTTCTCTTGCACTACCTCCTCCTTTCCCCTGCACAGATCTGGATGCTGGGTTCTCTTGCACTACCTCCTCCTTTCTCCTGCACAGATCTGGATGTTGTGTTCTCTTGCACTACCTCCATTTCCCTTGCCCAGATCTGGATGCTGTGTTCTCTTGCACTACCTCCTCCTTTCACCTGCCCAGATCTGGATGCTGTGTTCTCTTGCACTACCTCCTCCTTTCTCTTGCACAGATCTGGATGTTGTGTTCTCTTGCACTACCCCCTCCTTTTCCCTGCACAGATCTGGATGCTGTGTTCTCTTGCACTACCTCCATTTCCCTTGCCCAGATCTGGATGCTGTGTTCTCTTGCACTACCTCCTCCTTTCTCCTGCACAGATCTGGATGCTGTGTTCTCTTGCACTACCCCCTCCTTTCTCCTGCACAGATCTGGATGCTGTGTTCTCTTGCACTACCTCCTCCTTTCTCCTGCACAGATCTGGATGCTGTGTTCTCTTGCACTACCTCCTCCTTTCTCCTGCACAGATCTTGATGCTGTGATCTCTTGCACTACCTCCTCCTTTCTCCTGCACAGATCTTGATGCTGTGATCTCTTGCACTACCCCCTTCTTTTCCCTGCCCAGATCTGGATGCTGTGTTCTCTTGCACTACCTCCTCCTTTCTCCTGCACAGATCTGGATGTTGTGATCTCTTGCACTACCCCCTTCCTTTCCCTGCCCAGATCTGGATGCTGTGTTCTCTTGCACTACCTCCCTTTTCCCTGCACAGATCTGTCCCATAGAGCCTCCACATCTGCTTTGTCATAGAGTAGCCAGCCACCTAAAGGAGGCTGTTAACTGTTTCCACCTCCATTCTCATGCTGGATGTTGTGATAGTATACAGTGATAGTCTCTTTATTTAAACAGTGTCTGTTCAGTTTTATCAGGAAAACCCACCCACTCTTTTACCTCCTTACAGATCTGTGTATATAATAACACCAGGCCATGAATTCTCATTAATAAATTGTCACACAGATACCTCCATTTCACCAGCTGGGAAAGTGTTGATAGAATTTTTTGTTCTAGGCCTGCATATGTTGATAGCATTCTTTGTTCTAGGTCTGCAGATGTTGATAGCATTCTTTGTTCTAGGTCTGAATGGATAGAAAGCATTCGGAAATCGCACTTAACCTCCGTAATCTGGATCTACACACCGGGTCAAGCTGGCGTAAAGGGAAATGAGCGAGTGGACCAACTGGCAAGCACTGCACTAATGATTGCGGGAAAAAGCATGGACGGAGCAGATATCATCAACGCTGTAAGGACTGGACTAGTGGAGAATGAGGAATCCCTGACACTAACACGTTTGCGTGACATGGGAGTTAAGCATGGTGAAGTACGTCTTTGCCGTCTTCGAGGCCGAGATAGGAGACAATGCAACCAGCTTCTCCTGGAAACAATTAGTAGTAGTACTTTGGAGTGGCTGCTGCTTTGGAGGACTGAGAACGCATGGAAATGCCCAGTGTGCAGTGACATCAAGTGTGATAATAAAACATAAAATAACATCTTGTAGGGAGTCGGCAGTCCAAAACCCAAGTTCAAGGTGTCTCCTTTGTGCCAAAGAACTGCATGGCTGTTGGGTGAACAGTCGTTAACGAAGGCAGTGTTATTAGTCCCTGGTTTGCACATTTTTTTTTAACTCGATTTTCTGTCTCTTGGAATTCATATTAACAAGATGCTCCTTATCTTAATTATTAATACATTTATTTAGCCGGCGCTTTGTCTCATCAGTGCTTGATTGTGGAACTTTGTCTCACCAGTGCTTGATTGTGGAACTTTGTCTCACCCGTGCTTGATTGGGGAACTTTGTCTCACCAGTGCTTGATTGGGGAACTTTGTCTCACCAGTGCTTGATTGGGGAACTTTGTCTCACCAGTGCTTGATTGTGGAACTTTGTCTCACCAGTGCTTGTTTGTGGAACTTTGTGTTACCAGTAGTTGATTGTGGAACTTTGTCTCACCAGTGGTTGATTGTGGAACTTTGTCTCACCAGTGGTTGATTGTGGAACTTTGTCTCACCAGTAGTTGATTGTGGAACTTTGTCTCACCAGTGGTTGATTGTGGAACTTTGTCTCACCAGTGGTTGATTGGGGAACTTTGTCTCACCAGTGGTTGATTGTGGAACTTTGTGTCACCAGTGGTTGTTTGTGGAACTTTGTCTCACCAGTGGTTGATTGTGGAACTTTGTCTCACCAGTGGTTGATTGTAGAACTTTGTCTCACCAGTGGTTGATTGTAGAACTTAGTCTCACCAGTGCTTGATTGTGGAACTTTGTCTCACCAGTGCTTGATTGTGGAACTTTGTCCTACCAGTGGTTGATTGTGTAATAGCACAGATAATTAATGTGTGTGCGCATATTTTGTATTTAAATTTGTAGTATTTACTCACATGTAATCGTTATTGTGCCACTTATGTCACGTTGCATTTGCCTTTTGTTTAATTGTGTTGACAGGTCAAGCACATAGTCTCACAAAACTGTGATGGACTCCACCTGCGAAGTGGTTTCCCCCGACAAGCTCTATCAGAGCTGCATGGCAATATGTATCTTGAGGTAAATCATCACATTGTATTGTTCTCACATTCATGGAATCCTCCTACAGTCAATGCACAAGTAATTCCAGATTTTTCTTCTTTCCTGTGTTTTTTCACCATATAGTTAAAATATCAAGACACATTTAAAAACATGAAGGAAATCAACATGGGTGGAAATAACATCACCAAATAAGATATGCAGATTTGCAACAATAAACATGATCTTTAGTCAAATTAGTGTTAAATGGATGCAGTAATAATTTACATGAACAACTAAGCTTAGAGTCACATTGTAAGGAAACAGAAAGTGGGGTCAAGGCCAGGTAGACAGAAATACCACAGTGTAAATTACATTAGGCATGTGAATCGATAAACTATCTTGGAACGGTCATAACATCTGACCCAAAGTCATTACATTTGACCCATGGTCATAACATCTGACCCATGGTCATAACATCTGACCCAAGTCATAACATCTGACCCACGTCATAACATCTGACCCAAGTCATAACATCTGACCCACGTCATAACATCTGACCCAAGTCATAACATCTGACCCACGTCATAACATCTGACCCAAGTCATAACATCTGACCCAAGTCATAACATCTGACCCACGGTCATAACATCTGACCCACGGTCATAACATCTGACCCATGGTCATAACATCTGACCCAAAATGCCTTGCAGTAATTAGAACTGGAATCGCCATGGCAACATTGGCCTTTAGCAAGATACAGAAGATGCTCACCAATAAAAAGATGTCGGTTTCAATGTAATAAATGTGGCGAGATAAACACCTGGTTTGGCATACTGTTGGATTAAGTCAAAAACACTGACATGATCTATGGTTATGGTGATCGTGTCAGATTGCAAAACATGATGGCTACTCTTATTGACAGGGCACATGATGATATTTTCGGCAGAACACAATCAAATACAGAGAACTAAAATGTGTTGGTAACATGAAGCCAATGTTATCACAACCATAATGATAGCAGAGGAGCAGGTGGTAACATGAAGCCAATGTTATCACAACCATAATGATGGCAGAGGAGCAGGTGGTAACATGAAGCCAATGTTATCACAACCATAATGATGGCAGAGGAGCAGGTGGTAACATGAAGCCAATGTTATCACAACCATAATCGCCCGGCTCTCTAGCGAAGTTGGTTAAACCTGACTTTCGCGGCGGCCGGGTGACGAACTCCTTGTGGTCCGGGTTCACTCCCGGGGGTAGGCAGAAAAGCCACATTTCTCCCAGATTAACGGTACCTATAATGGAATCAATGCCGAAGGGTTGCGATATCCATAGTACCGAGCCAAAGGGTTTACAACTCATGGTTTCTGGATACGTAAAAAAAAAAAATCACAACCATAATGATGGCAGAGGAGCAGGTGGTAACATGAAGCCAATGTTATCACAACCATAATGATGGCAGAGGAGCAGGTGGTAACATGAAGCCAATGTTATCACAACCATAATGATGGCAGAGGAGCAGGTGGTAACATGAAGCCAATGTTATCACAACCATAATGATGGCAGAGGAGCAGGTCTAACATGAAGCCAATGTTATAACAACCATAATGATGGCAGAGGAGCAGGTGGTGACATGAAGCCAATGTGGTCACAACCATAATGATGGCAAAGGAGCAGGTGGTAACATGAAGCCAATGTTATCACAACCATAATGATGGCAGAGGAGCAGGTGGTAACATGAAGCCAGTGTTATAACAACCATAATGATGGCAGAGGAGCAGGTGGTAACATGAAGCCAATGTTATCACAACCATAATGATAGCAGAGGAGCAGGTGGTGACATGAAGCCAATGTTATCTCAACCATAATGATAGCAGAGGAGCAGGTTGTAACATGAAGCCAATGTTATCACAACCATAATGATGGCAGAGGAGCAGGTGGTAACATGAAGCCAATGTTATCACAACCATAATGATGGCAGAGGAGCAGGTGGTAACATGAAGCCAATGTTATCACAACCATAATGATGGCAGAGGAGCAGGTGGTAACATGAAGCCAATGTTATCACAACCATAATGATGGCAGAGGAGCAGGTGGTAACATGAAGCCAATGTTATCACAACCATAATGATAGCAGAGGAGCAGGTGGTAACATGAAGCCAATGTTATCACAACCATAATGATGGCAGAGGAGCAGGTGGTAACATGAAGCCAGTGTTATAACAACCATAATGATGGCAGCGAAGGGTCAAACCTGACTTTCGGGCGGCATGAAGCCAATGTTATCACAACCATAATGAAAGCAGAGGATTTCAGGTTAACGGTAACATGAAGCCAATGTTATCACAATCCATAATGATGGCAGAGGAGCAGGGTTAACATGAAGCCAAAATCACAACCATAATGATGGCAGAGGAGCAGGGGTAACATGAAGCCAATGTTATCACAACCATAATGATGGCAGAGGAGCAGGTGGTAACATGAAGCCAATGTTATCACAACCATAATGATGGCAGAGGAGCAGGGGTAACATGAAGCCAATGTTATCACAACCATAATGATGGCAGAGGAGCAGGTGGTAACATGAAGCCAATGTTATCACAACCATAATGATAGCAGAGGAGCAGGTGGTAACATGAAGCCAATGTTATCACAACCATAATGATGGCAGAGGAGCAGGGGTAACATGAAGCAAATGTTATCACAACCATAATAATGGCAGAGGAGCAGGTGGTAACATGAAGCCAATGTTATCACAACCATAATGATAGCAGAGGAGCAGGTGGTAACATGAAGCCAATGTTATCACGACCATAATGATGGCAGAGGAGCAGGTAGTAACATGAAGCCAATGTTATCACAACCATAATGATAGCAGAGGAGCAGGTGGTAACATGAAGCCAGTGTTATCACAACCATAATGATGGCAGAGGAGCAGGTGGTTACATGAAGCCAATGTTATCACAACCATAATGATGGCAGAGGAGCAGTTGGTAACATGAAGCCAATGTTATCACAACCATAATGATGGCAGAGGAGCAGGTGGTGACATGAAGCCAATGTTATCACAACCATAATGATGACAGAGGAGCAGGTGGTAACATGAAGCCAATGTTATCACAACCATAATGATGGCAGAGGAGCAGGTGGTAAGTCTAAATGTTGAATTAAGAATCAACATCATAGCACTCGGGACACTTCCATAAGCACTCCTTACCCCATCTTCAGCAGCAAACAAAGAGTTTCAATAATAAAGGCATCACTAATTGTCTGATTTTTCATCCGTCTCGCCTTTTCCTTGAATGTTGAGCTTTGACCAGATCCCCTGTTAACTCCTCGCAGTGCCATTCTCCTCCGACCTTAATGATCTATTTGCGCTTCCGCACTGTTCACCTGCTCAGCATCTAGCTTGTCATACATCAGTTCACCACCAAGTGGTGCAGAACTGGCCAGTTTATATGCCTGCTCATTTCCCAACACACCTGCATCACCTGGAGAGAATATCCGGGACCTCTGAAGTGATGCTTGCCACTTGCATGGAGCATGCCTGTATCCGCCTTTCTCAACATGTTCTGTGAGTCAATTACAATCACTGCATGTGTGTACAACTGATTCTCAAGCCAGCCGACTGTAGCAATGACTGCCTCCACCTCCATTCTCAAACTCAACGTTGTAGTATCATATGCCATTTGCTTTTGCTATGAACCCCCATGCACTTCGTCTGCCTCTCACCAGAGAGCCATCTGTATAGACAATCACATCACTTGGGCGGGAATTATCATGAATCATTTGTTGAACTTTTGATTCTGCAGCACCTGCTGGCCAGTCCCTGCACTCACGACCCAAAGTGATTAGAGCCCTACACAAGTCTGAAACTTGCTTGGACACTTTGACACACTCCTTTTCTCATCAAAATTTATCAAGCCTGCACACAAGTGTGATAGTGTCATCAGCTTGCGCCATCCCAGACCTTCCTCTCTTCAGTCTGTGACCCTTAGCTCTACCCAGGGCTTCATGCAGGAGGTGCCTTTTGTCCGCAGCTACTCTGAGATATGACTTTTCTGCAAAACTTTGAGCCTATCTCAATAGTAGGCTGTGCAAGTATATATCACATACATACTACCTGGGTATCTCTTGTACATACCAGAATCACCCGCATGGCTTCATTCTGTATGCGTTCAAGTTTCATCAGCTGACTCTTTGATGTGGTAAGCATTCCAAGTCCATAACCTATCATAGACAGGATCACATGAGGGAACATTGCGAACCACATTCTTTGTTCAATGTCGATTGCTGCCATACTCTTGGGAGCATTGAGTCCTTTGTGACTTCTGTTCGAGTGTTGGAGATCCATTTCAGCCAACTTTCAATCTAGAAATGGTATATGCGCTCATATTTATGAAATACCTCCATCGCATTGTCTACTTGATCATATAAATAATTATTTAGATCTCAGTTGATGTGGGTGCTTATACAGTAGCCTGTCATTTCCTGTGATGGGACTCACAATTAATCCCAACCATCAATTATTGACTGAAAATTCTACTATGTACTGTCAGATTTCTTCTGGCCTCCTCTATTCCAAAAGAAAGTGAAATGATTCTCTTTAGTGGACCCATCCTGTAGGAGGCCTGTTTTTTATAGGCTAGTAATATCTTTGTCAAATCTCTTGTGTCTGGCATCACTGGCAGCCTCTTCTTCTCACATCAATCATTGTGTTTCCAGGCAAATGGAAAGCCCAGGCCACTTGCACCTTACATTTTATGTTGCAAGCTGAAGCTCAAACGTTTTTATATTTTTTTATATTTCTGGTTGCATTGGCTTTTCAGCCTGTGATTAAATTTTGTCCTAGCTGCAAGCACCCTTGAAGCACACAGTCTGTGGTCAAGAACTTGAGACAGGCATTAGCAATCAGTGACATTGACAAATGTTTCCTACCATCAGAGGCAGCTCATATATGCCATATGTCAAGTTCTTTTAATCTGTAACTGACTCTTGATTTGTTTCCTAAGCCAGGTACGATCAGCAATGCAGTTCTTCCTCACCAAAGTCTGGGCATTATGGGAGAGAACATGTGTTGCCTCATTCAGCCATTGTCACTTTCTCTGTCCCTCCCTTCCCTTGTGTGTCTTTGTTGGTCTCTCTCTCTCTCTGTTCATATCTCTCTCTCTCTCTCTTTCTTTATTTCTTTAATACCTGGTCTTGAGCAGATAGAACATTTATGGCTCCTCCATCTGTCTCTGTCATCTTTTGTTTTTTGTGAAGACATTGATTGACCCACATGTTTCTACTTAATCTTGTTTTTATCAACATCTGTGATATAAGCCCATGGTTGCAAATCTTGTTGACTCTGGAAACCATTGAGAATATTTCTGTTTCCAGTGCTGCTACTCATGTGTCCCAAATCAAGAGTTTGTTCGACTGTTTGATGTGACCGAGCTGACTGGTTTCCATCGACACTCAACATCCAGATTCTGTCGTTCCTGCGGAGGAAATCTTCAAGACACAATTGTTCACTTTGGAGAGAAGGGCAAACTGAAATCACCGTATAGATGGAAGGAAGCAGTAAGAGCTGCCAAACAAGCAGACCTTATTCTGTGTTTAGGTTCCAGTCTTAAAGTAAGTTGGAAAACATTCAAACCATTTTCTTATTGCAGAATTCTTCAGTACTGGGAAACATTTCAGTATCTTCACATTTTAAAAGAAGTCATCATGCATAATTAAGGCCATGTGCGGGTGTTCAAAACATCAAATTTGGGTCAGGTCGACCATTTTTGGAAAAGTTCGTTTTTACACACCTTAGTATGTCTTCTGTCAGATTCAGTATTTGTTTTTGTCTAAAATATGTTTTTTTAATACAATATTATATTTACTGGGCTAATCCTAGCTGTGAAATTATTTGTTTATTGAATTTTTTTTGCAAAATAAGGGATATATGCACAAGGAGGTAGCTGTATTATATATGGGTGAAACCAGAATTTTGTTCCCTACACTGTTCGGCGGGAATCGCGATTGTGGAATTTTACGTTTTCCATTGACAGTCAATTCATTGACCCCTACAACTGTCAGGAAACTTCCATATATGGGTGTAGACACAATCTCCGTCAGGACGAGTGGTTTCCGCTGGCTGAAATTGATCACATGGGTGTCCGATTCTCAAAGATGGCCGTTGTGAAAGATTGTTTACCCAGAAATGACATGACAGTTGTGAAATCGAAAAATGCCTCAGTCTAAGAAATTGAAACTCCACTTAGCTGATCAACTTATGAAATCTCGAAGTCTACAACTGGCAAATGCTCGTAAGCAAAGTCTACAAGAGTGTTGTTAGTATACATAAAATTCAGAATGTGGCGCATCTGATATGCTTGTCGATGTTTCTAGCATGACTGGCATTTTGGCAATCAGTGATTCTGTATTATCTTGTTTTTGTTATAGTTCTCGAGGTTATGGAAGTGACACTATTCTTGCAGAAAAAACCCGAAGCTAGTTTCAGAGAGAGACCTCCTCCTCTTGCAGCATGTGTGTTTCTGTTGATAGCAGTGGACATAAAAAAAACTGGAGTACAGAGTAGTTGACTTTTGTGAAATTGACGAAATCATCAAAACGTTGTGTTGTTCACTAGGTAAAAATAGTGGTCTTATTTTGAAACCTGACAGCAAGAAAACAAGGTTTAGCTGTGCATGCAGAGGTTTACTGCTCTTGTTGTGAAGAAGTAGTTACTGGAAGGTACCTAGCTTCAGGAAGTAATGATGGCGATAGATCTTTTGCCATCAACAACCAGTTTGTTTATTCTGGAATGGTTGCCACAATGTTCAATCATATTTGTGAAGAGACAAACCTGCAAGCTCTTCACCACAAAACATTTCACAAGAAAGCCAGTAAATGATATTCAAAGTTAGAAGCTCTGGAGGACATGGTTTTCTCTCAAACCCTGAAGTGTGTGCGGCAAGTCCATGCGCAGCAGGCAGGCATCACTCTACATGATAATGATGTGCTGGATATTACTGTCAGCCTTGATGGCACTTGACTAAGGAGAGGCCACACATCCTACATTGGAGTTGGCTGTGCAGTGGATGTACTTACAGGACTTTGCATAGATGTGCATGTTATATCCACATATCGTCAGGAGTGTGGAACCACTGGTAAGAAAGTTTCCAAATCTAAAACAGCTGAATTTGAAGCATGGAAGGCAGATCATCTTCTAAACTGTGATAATAATTTCACAAGATCTGCTGGAATGATGGAGGTGAAGGCTGCACGAGTGTTGTGGCAGCGGTCTGTGGACCATCATAAGCTTCATTATACATCAATACTTTCTGATGGTGATGCCAAAACTGGCTAAGCACCAGTCCCTGGGTCCTCATGACAAGATGTTACACACATGGCTCAACTGTGACAAGATGTTACACACGGCTCAACTGTGACAAGATGTTACACACATGGCTCAACTGTGACAAGATGTTACACACGGCTGAACTGTGACAAGCTACAGAAGTATCTTTTGCCAATTCATGAAAGGCTGTCTGAGCCTAAACTTCTTAGTGGTTGATGTGTTTCAGGAAAAACCCAGAATTCAAATGAGTGTTTACACAGCCTGATCTGGGCTCGCTGTACTAAAGACAAGTTTGACTCACACAAGCGCATTCAGTTTGCAGCTGTAACTGCAGCAAGAGAGTTCAACTTTGCTGCTATAGCTTCTCAAGACACTGCCCAGTTTGTTTGGATTGTCTACAGGCCTGCAAATGAAGAGACTGGGAGCATCTAGGATGCAGAAGACAGAAATAGCTTGAAGTATCAGAAGGACAAGCAAAACTTAGAGACGCAACAGTGTACGAGCTGCCAAACTGAAGAGGCAAGATGAACTACATGCCCTAGAGGGAGGTCCTGCATATGCAGCAGGATTGTTCTAATGATCATGTATCATCAAAAACTTTTTTTTTCTGTGTGAAATAACATGTTAAATCATGAAAATAAATAATAAAACATGCACAATTTTCTTTTTCCTCCGTTTTCTCATTTTGGCAATTTTTCGGCTTACGATATATTTTTCTCAAAAACTGCTTGCTTGTCTCATTGTAATGAAAGTTACACTTTTTTAACATTGTATTCAGATACAAGAGCGTTTGTGAAACAAAGGTTTTGTTTTTATGCAGCAGTCAGAAAGCCACAAAAATTGTATAAAAATATATGTTAAATTTTAAAAAAAAAACAAGTAGAATAGAAATGATAAATGATATCATAAAAACCTTCAGTACTTGTGTAAAGGGGCTATGAATGTATAAAAATACTAAAGAATTGAGGCTCTACATACAAAAATGTGGTTTTAGACATAACGCAAGAAATCCATTATGGCCGTTGTTTATCTTGGTTTCCATAGCAACCATTGAGAGTACAGTCAGTTTGACAGTATTTTTCGATCTAAAATCTTCAATATAAAACCATATACCATACGAGTACCTAGAAATTATTAGTATACAGTTTAGTTTCAAAAGGGAAGCTTGGCCTTAAGACCACTAAAATTTGTAAATGTTATTTTATGTGGGATCAACAATGTTTTAGGAGGAATTCCCACATGTTCACCTTCCAAATTTTAGCAGTGCAGGGCAAAAAGGTTACATTATTGTCCCAAGGTGGTGTTAACCTAATTCTGTTGTCACCTTGGGGCCAAACATAGGGAGGGAACCTTGGTTACAGCATTCCTTTGTGTTAGGTAATTGTACTGCTTACTGGACAGTGTCCTACTCCTGATGGGAGATTTGTGTTAGGTAATTGTACTGCTTACTGGACAGTGTCTATACTCCTGATGGGAGATTTGTGTTAGGTAATTGTACTGCTTACTGGACAGTGTTTATACTCCTAATGGGAGATTTGTGTTATTAGGTAATTGTACTGCTTACTGGACAGTGTTTATACTCCTGATGGGAGATTTGTGTTAGGTAATTGTACTGCTTACTGGACAGTGTCTATACTCCTGATGGGAGATTTGTGTTAGGTAATTGTACTGCTTACTGGACAGTGTCTATACTCCTGATGGGAGATTTGTGTTAGGTAATTGTACTGCTTACTGGACAGTGTTTATACTCCTAATGGGAGATTTGTGTTATTAGGTAATTGTACTGCTTACTGGACAGTGTCTATACTCCTGATGGGAGATTTGTGTTAGGTAATTGTACTGCTTACTGGACAGTATCTATACTCCTGATAGGAGATTTGTGTTAGGTAATTGTACTGCTTACTGGACAGTGTTTATACTCCTGATGGGAGATTTGTGTTAGGTAATTGTACTGCTTACTGGACAGTGTCTATACTCCTGATGGGAGATTTGTGTTAGGTAATTGTACTGCTTACTGGACAGTGTCTATACTCCTGATGGGAGATTTGTGTTAGGTAATTGTACTGCTTACTGGACAGTGTCTTATACTCCTGATGGGAGATTTGTGTTAGGTAATTGTACTGCTTACTGGACAGTGTTTATACTCCTGATGGGAGATTTGTGTTAGGTAATTGTACTGCTTACTGGACAGTGTTTATACTCCTGATGGGAGATTTGTGTTAGGTAATTGTACTGCTTACTGGACAGTGTTTATACTCCTAATGGGAGATTTGTGTTATTAGGTAATTGTACTGCTTACTGGACAGTGTCTATACTCTTGATGGGAGATTTGTGTTATTAGGTAATTGTACTGCTTACTGGACAGTGTCTATACTCCTGATGGGAGATTTGTGTTAGGTAATTGTACTGCTTACTGGACAGTGTCTATACTCCTGATAGGAGATTTGTGTTAGGTAATTGTACTGCTTACTGGACAGTGTTTATACTCCTGATGGGAGATTTGTGTTAGGTAATTGTACTGCTTACTGGACAGTGTCTATACTCCTGATGGGAGATTTGTGTTAGGTAATTGTACTGCTTACTGGACAGTGTCTATACTCCTGATGGGAGATTTGTGTTAGGTAATTGTACTGCTTACTGGACAGTGTCTATACTCCTGATGGGAGATTTGTGTTAGGTAATTGTACTGCTTACTGGACAGTGTTTATACTCCTGATGGGAGATTTGTGTTAGGTAATTGTACTGCTTACTACGGTATAAATGGAACAATTTTAGATTGTGTTAAGGCTATTTATAGACAAAGTGAAAGCGCCATTAGAACAAGAGCTGGCATCACAGACTGGTTCCCAGTAACATCAGGAGTAAGACAAGGTTGTGTATTATCACCTTTACTTTTCATAATATTGATGGGAGAATATTAATAAAATAGACATAACACCAACAGATGTCGATAAACAGGAGGACTTCAATGAGCTGCTCTTTGCCGACGATCAATGCATATTTCACAGTGATAGTAAACAGCTGCAAGACCACATGAACCTACTACACGACAGTTGCCTCAAGCATCATATGAAGGGATCAATACTGAAAAGACAGAAAGTCATGACTGCATAAGTAGAGAGCAACAGACCATCGACATAAAGATTGTAGATCACAGCCTAAAACAAGTGCAAGAATTTAAATACCTGGGAAGTATCTTTACATCCAATGGTAAAATAGACAGAGAGATTGAAGCAAGAATCCAACAAGCCAACAATGTACGCATACCAGCTTGCCCCAATTTTAA